TGGGAGCATGCTGTGGGTTGCTTTAGGGTCTCCAGTGCCAAGTGAGACAAGAAGCTGCTTTAGCCCCCCCCGCACCGCTGACCGTGAGCTGCTCGAGGTGAACCCCCCCCTGCTCCAGCCCTGCTCCTCCCACCAAGCCAGAGCCCCCTCCTACAGTCCAAAGCTCCCATCTTCAGTCTCAATCTGGAGCCCACATTCCAGTCATGGTCTATGTCAGGTCATGGGATCAACAATTTTCTTCAACCGGGTCAGGAGAAAGAGTTTGAAACCCTCTGCCTCAGAGAACAGCAAAGTACGATCTCCCACAAGGGATTTAGGACACACAATACAGCACCCCCAAACTGCACCTCTCCAACAGACACACACCTTGCTACCTGCAAGAGGAAGCTTTCAAAGCAAAGCATTTGCTAACAACTGCATTTAATAACTCACTTACCAAGCACAACCTCATTCACACAACTTAAAACAGTCTTCTAAAGGGGCCAGGACTAGCACCCCCAGCAAACAGAGATCTACCTGCTCAAGCTGCTTATAAAGATAGAACAGGTGAGTGAACTCAATACTTCACCCAATTAGGCTCAGCCTTGTGGCTGGCAGCAGAAATGTGGCCTTAAGGAGGAACAGCCCTTTACCTTTCACAGAGAAAAAGCTTCACAATCTCAGCCTGGCCAAACACAATGGTGGAAATAAAATCTTGATCATTAGCACCTGGCAGATCTCCAGCACTTTTCATGTTGCAAAGGCATTGCAGATAGGAATGCTGAAACCACTGATCAAAATCCCAGGTCTCCCGCAAGAGAGGGATTTAAAACCACCAATCCAGGCCTCTGCCCTGTAACCTGATTTGCATGCGAATAAGAGTCTCTGTGGAGCAGTTTGCAAGATCCAGGCCTAGTAAGTCACTTCTTTCCTAATGCATTTAAGTTTTAGAGAATGAGCCCAGAATCAGACATGCATGAGCAAAAACAGTGGGACGTTAGGCTGTTAGCAGTGGTGTAACCTTTGCAGTCTAGTAGTTATGGTGGTGAACCAGAAGATTCGAGTTCTAATCCTGGCTCTGTTGCTGGGTGAGTTTATGTAAGTCACTTTCTGTCTCTTTTGCCACTTTATGGCTACGTCTAGACTGGCATGATTTTCCGCAAATGCTTTTAATGGAAAACTTTTCCTTTAAAAGCATTTGCGGAAAAGAGCGTCTAGATTGGCACGGACGCTTTTCCGCAAAATAACTTTTTGCGGAAAAGTGTCTGTGCCAATCTAGATGCACTTTTGCACAAAAAAGCCCCGATCATCATTTTTGCGATCGGGGCTTTTTTGCGCAAAACAAATCTGAGCTGTCTACACTGGCCCTTTTGCCCGAACGAGAGCAGCATAGTATTTCCGCAAGAAGCACTGATTTCTTACAGGAGATCATCAGTGTTCTTGCGGAAATTCAAGCGGACAGTGTAGACAGCTGGCAAGTTTTTCTGCAAAAGCAGCTGCTTTTGCGGAAAAACTTGCCAGGCTAGACACAGCCTATCTGTCTTGTTTATTTGACTCTGAGCAGGAACGGTCTCTTACACTAACTCTACCTACAATACAGCTGCTAGCGCATAAGCGGGGTTGGCACCCCTAAGTTCTACTGTAAAACAACTGACAGAAGTGGGTTGTGCTCACAAAAGCTCATGATCCCATCTAAATTTTTTGTTAGTTTCTAAGGTGCTGCAGGACTAGGTTTTGAACCAGACAGTCCACTATCCACTATTTGAGCTTTCTGTTCGGGAAGCAAACTGAGAAAATAGAAATGTCCGGTATTTTCTAAATAAAATGTAATGTAGATTGTGATGTCATGTCAAGTGTATCTGATATTTTTGTTGAAACCGTCTAGCAACCCTATGCAGGACTGTTTGCTGTTTTTAAAGTTTTTTCAGTTACAGACTAACACGGCTATCCCTCTGAAACCTAGATAACAATAATAATTAGATTTGTAAACTCGCAAAGTCAGGAGCTGTGTTAATTTTTAATGCATGGCACCATAGCCTAAGCACCAAATCACACATAGTCATAAATAATAATAATTGTTTATAAATGGATCCTGTTGTGTGACTGGTTTTTCCTTCTACTTTCTACTATTTGTCAACCTGACTGGAAGCTGGACAATAACAGTTCACTCCTTTGCTGGATTTGCTGTGCACATGCACCCAGCACAGATTTTACTGTCCTTCATCATGTGACTGGCCATATTTAGGATATTTTTAGACAACCCCAAAACACGATCTGTGCCTCTGTCCAAGACTTTGTCCCACACAGTGACCTGCAGGAGCTACGCTGTTATTGGGAGCAAAGCTGTAGGCTCGGAAGTGTTGGAATAGGTTGCAGGGCAGGTCTGAAGAGGTGCTGTGGCTAGTGCACTGGCTTGGGGCCTGAGAATCTCTGCTGCTGGGTAACTTTGGGCAAGTCAAGTCTCAGGCCTTTGCCTCAGTTTCCCCACCTGTAAAATGGGGTTCACGGGACAGGCCTCCTGTGGCAAGTGCTCTGAGTGCTGCCCAATGCTCCCTGCCAGCTGGGCGTGAGTGCCAGGGAGCTGGGACTTTGGGGGGGAGGGGGAGGCTCCCTGGGATGGGGGAGG